TTTTTTTTCGATGGCAAAGATTTTTGGTATGGAGTGTAGGTTTGAGAAATGTCATCTTTTGACATGTGTGTCAATGTTTGGTACCTTCCGGTTTGACTGGAAATGGTCCTAACTCCGTAATTTTGGATGGCATCCCAATAATTTTTTTACATTTTTGGTATCTGCGGATCATGATGTGTACGAAAACGTCAAATTTGAACATTTTTGAAAAAATTTCAGAACTCTGGATGAAAATTTATTTTTGAACGGGAAGTGACGGAGCGGTCTTAAAATTGTTATTTTCAACCAACACAATCGTAGAAAAATGCGAATGCCCAGTTATTATCTTATGCTTGTTCTCCAAAGGCTTCCAAAGCTGAAAAAATCACATTTTACGTGATAACTCAATGAAATCAGTGAAATCACCCGACTTTCATAACAAATGTTTTTTACCTTTTTCAAAATAAAACCAACTATGCATTCAAACTTTTTATTCATGCCAGTTTTTAAATATTTTTCCAATATTTTTACTATGCATTACTATAACTGATAAAACTACTTATAAATAAACCCCTGTATTCAAACTTTGTATTTACAAATTCCCTAGATGTCAAACAATGACAAATAAACATATCTTGCTTACAGTCCACAGATCTTGTCAATGGCTTGTCAAGAAAAAAAAAACACCAGCTCCTTTTGGAAAGCGTTCTTCATACAGGGGTTCATTTATAAGTAGCTTTATCATTTATAATGGTGCATTAAAAAATAATAATAAAATAATCAAAAACTAACATAAATGAAAAGTTTCAATGCATAGTTGGTTTTATTTTGAAAAAGGTAAAAAACTCTTGTTGTGAAAGTTGGGTGATTTCACTGATTTCATTGAGTTATCACGCAGAATGTGTTTTTTTTAACTTTGGATGCCTTTGGAGAGCAAGCAAAGGATAACATCTTGGCACTCGCATTTTTATACGATTCTGGGGGTTGAAAATAACAATTTTAAGACCGCTCCGTCACTTTCTGTTCAAAAATAAATTTCCATCCAGAGTTCTAAAATTTCTTCAAAAATGTTCAAATTTGACGTTTTCGTACACATCATGATCCGCAGATACCAAAAATGCGAAAAAATTATTGGGATGCCATTCAAAATTACGGAGTTAGGACCATTTCCGGTCAAACCGGAAGTGACCAAAAATTGACACACATGTCAAAATATGACATTTCCCAAACCTACACTCTATACCAAAAATCTTTGCCATCGAAAAAAAAAAACAGCAAATGCCAGCGCGAAACTGATCTCGTAGACACCCGGTATATATCTATTAGTACCCGTGGTGCATACAAACTTTTATGTCATACCAGTTGGTTGTGAATAATAAATACCTGGGAGAAAAGTGTCACTTCGCAAATTGTCATCAGTGTGCAAAAATCATAATTTTTTGACAAAAATAATATGTTTATCAGCGAAAATTTATATTTTGTTAATAAAGAATAAGTTAATTGAAAACTGTTTTTTGCGTCTTTATGCCCGCGCGGGCTATAATCTGTACTTTATGCCCGCACGGGCATAAAGTAATGAATTATGTAGATGATATCTAAGGTATAAAAACACAATAATGTATTGGTATGACATAAAAATAATTATGGATCAAAATGAGGTGAGTACAGGTAGTAAAGGTACATGTTTGATACTAAATTGATGAAGGAACATTATATTCAGTAGAAAATGAAGCATTGTATGCACCATTCGAAAAAAATCAACCCACTGGCTAGGGCTCGTAAGTTAAACTTTCATCTCATGGGTAAACATTCATTTAACTCACTTGGTGTATAATAGTTATTTATACACCAAGTGAGTTAAATGAATGTTTATTCATGAGAAGAAAGTTTAACCCACGAGCTCTAGCGAGTGGGTTAATTTTCTTTGAATGAATAAACATTTTAACTCACGTGATGTATACAAAATTTTATCCCATTTTGTGGAAATTTACAAAATAAAGTACAAGGAAAAATGCCGGCAGTGAGTTAAAAATATTTTAAATCACTGAGGTTTCAGATTTTTAATTGGGCAGAGTGACTTAAAATGCCGAGAGTGAGTTAAAATGTTTTTGAATCACTGAGGTGATAAACGTCTACTTACCTTTATTGTTATGCGTTCAATAATGTCATTTTTAAACGTCAAAATGGGATAAATAACTAATATTTTATAATTATTTTTAACCCCTCTTAAGACGTCTATGGTTTAAAAGTGGCCATTTCTGGAATCGTTTAATTTAAAACGTATTATACTACAATGATACCTACTATGATGTTCCTAAATTCACGAAGTAACAGAAAAAACCAGCCTGTATAAGGTTTAACCATTTCCACATATGACGGAACTTCAAACGACTGCTACTCAAAAAGGCGAATTTTTAGAACTTTGTGCCCATGGACACTTTTAATCTATAGGTCAAGAACTATCAATATGCAAAATTTCATGAAATTCCACTGAGGGCCAGCTCTCATAAAGTTTCTACGGGGTCCTTTAAAGAAAAACGTAAAACTAATTACGATAAAAATTCAGAAAGTTTGCAATTGAAACAAGGTGACCTCGTTACAATTACTAACGAAAAAAGAACCAAATTTGACCCATGGTTTAGGGGCCCATACTCAATCATAGGCTGTGATAATGTAAATTGTACAGTTAGGAATGAGCTTGATAATAAAGTGATAACAGTGCATAAAAACCGAGTGCAGCGTTTCTGTGTAACAGAAAAATGAAAATAAACTGAAGTGTAAGTGGTACTCTCGTGAATTTAAAAAATAAGTACTGTTTACCTAAAGCGTATAAATTTAAGAAGACATTTTTACATTTAAGTAATTATGTTTCATTTTACAATTAAATTAGGACAGTGTATAAAATCTGCTGAGCAAACTGATGTTATTGTTACGACACTTTTTGATTAGCTAATTACGTACACTAAACTTTTGTTTCGAAATAAGGATAATAATAAATTGGTTTTGAATTTTAAATTGCATTAGATATAGTTTTGTCTATTTTTTTTTTCTTCTTGGGTAATTTAATCTTTAAGGACGGGGAGAATCCCTGTTAGTAACTTTAATATTTTTGTTTAGAATACTTAATTATTATTTAAACTTATAATTTTATTTTTCCACATAATCCATTATTTTCTCATTTAAAACATAAAAATAAATTAGTCCTTGATGTTCCAGATCTTAAACTTTTCTAACACGAATGTTCTTCATAAAATGGCCACGATGAAGTCCATTTTTTGAAAAGGGGAGATGTGGTGCCAAAGACCTAACCCAATTTCATAATAACTTATTATTTGTTAAACATACAGTAAGCAGTAAATATTGCTGATGTAGGATTACGTATAAGTATTGGAAATAGTTGTTAAGTAGGTAGACTAAAATATAAATCAATTATTAATCTGGTTTCGACTAAAAAACAGTATGTAAAACTTTACTGTTGTATTATTTTAAAACTTCGTAAAAGCAATCACTTCACACCATATTATCTGAATTAATTAAGCAATTATTACAAAAGAATTCAAATTGCTCTTGTTCTTCCTCTGAAGAAGAAGTATTGTTAGAATCAAAATGTAACCGCTAAAAATTATAAGGTAAAAGATCAAAAAGAACTGGTACTTAATGGTTGCTATGTGGTAAAAGTGTTGCTATGGAGTAAACTGGCACTTTACCACTCCATTTTGAATGCAGTTATGTATCACATTACTGTCAAAAATGCAATTTTAGATCTGGTTTTTGTTATGTACATCTTATTGTTTTTTGTAGAGTCTAAGTCCTGATGATGGCTCGAAGCCGAAAGCGCTAGGCAGCTAGAAATATACATTACGCGGAATACAAAACTAGTATTTTGACTTTTATTCCCTGATTGTCAAGAACAGCGTACAACTGAAGTGTTTCTATAATTAATCAGGTTAATTACGTCCTGTGTTTTATCGATTTGCAATCAACTCACCATTGAATTCATGTAGAGCGTGCTATTTTATCAAGCAGGCTCGTATGTTGACAATATTATCCACTGTGCCGTGACATTGGCTTCCCAAGAAAAAAAGAAAAAAAACAAAAATATCATTCAGCTGAATTTATTTTTTCTGCGATTGACAAGAAATGTCAGCATTTTTGACTGGTTTACAGGTCGCAAAACTCAATATTCTGGTATTTCAATTATGTTTCAATAGTTGCTAAGAAATCAATGAATAACAATACGGGAAACACTTTTCCGGCCTAGGCCGGGAAAGTGATTCTCGTACTGCTGAATATTTGGAACCAAAAGACAAACATTTAACAGGTATTTAACCGATCGCAGAAAAAATAGTATGTGTATTTCGGCGGAAAGCACATTCTCGGCCTTCGGTGTTTGCCGGCCTCGGCTACGCCTCGCTCGTTAACTTACACCGTCGGCCGAGAATGTGTCACTTTTCCACCTAAGTACACAATATACTATTAAACATTTGAAAATGGTTAATTAATAGTTATTTATTATACAAAACGGTAAAAACATGCTTTACCTGTGAGTGGATTAATTCCACGAACAGATAAAGCTTTTTTACCATCGTGTGTAATATTCTATTTCATTCTTGAGCAACTTTTTATTTATCACAATTACTAAAATCATAAACTAAAATGTGCTAAAATTTTACATAGATTATGACAAATTGACAAAGTACCTACCTAACAAACTGACACATTTCTGGTGTTGTCCATCATGCAACATAACAGATTTCTGTCAAAAACAATATAATTATTATAAAAGATTTGAACAAGTGGGTAAAATTGACTTATGAGGAGGTAAAATTGACGTATGAGTGGGTAAAATTGACAAATGGGTAAAAATTGTTCGATTTCACTACTTCAAATAAAGTGTTACTTTAACAACGAGTTTTGAGTCGATTGAATGATAGTTTACCATTCACGATAGAATAAATATCATTATCCTTAAGTTCTCAGAGCCTGAACATAATTTCAATAACACAAACTTATCATTTCAGGGCATGAAGTACCTTCATTCGACGCAGATTCGCGTTCACGGCTACTTGACATCGAGAAATTGCGTTATTGACGCCAGATGGGTCCTAAAAGTGGCGGATTATGGCTTGCCGGCATTTTATGAAGCTCAAGGTATCCAGCCGTCGGCTAAAACTGCCAGAGGTAAGATTCATTTAATGAACCAAAGAGGGGTTTTGTTCTTGTCCCAATGGTTTACTTGTGGGAGATCGACATGTAGAGTATCACTTGAAATTTGAAATTTTAAGCGTCGGAAAATTAGATTTTCATATCGATGATGTCGATTAAGTCGATATAGTAGATCGCTGTGAATTTTTGTAGCGTCCAGACGATTGTTTCCATTTGTTACAAATAATACTAGTTATTTGATATTTTAAGACAAGAGAACCTATAAGGTCGTGGAATTCAAAAAATTAAAATAACGTGTAGCCCCTTTATGTGCAAATGAAACCACTTAAAATCCAACAAACAATAATTTTATTTGATATTTGTTTACAATATAGTAACAATGTTACTTCCTTAAAAATTTGACAGTTGACAGCTTGGTTGTTCTGGTGAATCTGATACAATATGTACCTTCCCAATCCGGAGCTCTTCGTGTTGTTTCCTGTATCCAGGAAAGAGGATAGATTGCTGTGATGACATCACTCCAGCTGATCCAGACTTCAACCAGTGATCTTTTATGTCCAGTAGGTACCCAGAAAAGAATAAGGCAGAATCAGGTTTACCAAGATTGGGAATATTAAATCCCTGAATTGTGTCAAAAAGCGAGTGTCTTGCAAAGACAAAAAAATTAATATGAAATCAGTTTATTATGAAACTATTGTTGTGCAGACCCTCTTTTCCAACAGAATCAGGTATGAGCAACTATTGCAAATTCGAAAAAATATTTTAATATAAAAAAAAACAAATAAATAATTGAAAGTAATGATAAAATAATCGTAAATAGTAAAATAGGTAATAACAGTAAGATTAAATTAAAATGCTCGTTACAAATTAAACACGGTGCTGCTTTTCTGGCAGTAGCAATAAACAGGCAAGAATAAAAACAATTGTAGGATAAATTGAGTCAGATAAAAAAAATTAAAAAATCAAATCTCTAGATTCTCCCCAAATAGAGAAGTTTCAAATTTTCCTTTTTAGTCAAGGTACCTACCGTAGATACTACAAGATAAACCTGAGGGTGAAATCAACCAAATCTAGGGGCGAGTTCAGAAATAACACACCGGGTATGAGTGCGATTTGATGGGTGTGCCTGAAATGACAATTCTTAGCCGACAACTTTCGTATGAATTTCTGAACGCTTGGTGTGACCAATCGAGCATCTCCTCAAAAAATTTCAGCAAATGTATGTGTGTATGTATGTTTTGTTGTTCATTTTTTTAATTTGAAGAAAAAACTTTAATTCTTATTTGTGTTTTGTTTATATTTAGTGGGATCAATGGAATTATGGGAGGAATCGTTGACATTGTTGACATAATGAAACAACCACATCGCAGCCACACCAAAAAATTATGGTGTGACCGGTGCGACACCTGGAGCGCGCCCGAAGTATTTTCTGAACGGAACAGAATGCGCGCACTCGGTGTGCCTATAGCATTTATGAACGGCTAGTGCGTCGCACTGGTGTCACACTCACACTGAGTGTGTCATTCCTGGACTCGCCCCAGGATATGTCAAAATTCTTGAGATGTTTTAATTAAAGCTTTTTAAATGAATTTTTGACCTGTCTGGATTTCTATTTTAAAAATTACACCCTTTTTCAACACTCTTCTCCTCGAGAAGATAATAATTGACGGAGTCAAACAGAAAATAGCTATATTTAGGCCTCTTCCTGGATTCAATAAAGAGTTGATAGGGATAGACACACAAATTTGGTTTTCACCGTCTCTATTTAGAGCAAATGGTCCAATAATCCCACACTAACAGTTGATTCTGGAAACCAGAGAAGCAGTACCTATTCATTAACCCAAAAATCTGAATTGACTTACCTCAGATAAACGTGGAACCACCAATCACACACAAAATGGAGGCCCACAATTAGATAAAAAATTAAAATATAATTTTTATATTTCAAAAGTAGATAAGATAAGATTTATCAGGTAAAAACTCAACAGTGATATGGTAGTATACACTGATGGTAAAATAAATTGAATAATTATTAAGGGAGAATCTAGAAATCTGAACAAAAAAATTGCAAAAATGAAATGAACTTGCCTGCTAGACCACTGCCAGAAGAATAGACCATTTTAGAAGCCAAACCCTACAGGAAACCAATCTTGTGTTTTTTATACTCAACTGCGTATTAACCAGATCAACCAATCAGAAGTCGATACTCCAGACACAAAAGGCCGTGATCACTTGATAAATGATACACCACATTGATTAAAAGAGAACAGATAAAAACCCACTAGAATTATTTTAATTGTTTACAATAATTTAAATTAAGGTTATGTTGAAAACAAAAAACCACCAATTAATTAGGTCATTAGGCCAAAATAATCTTTTCAGAATCAGAAGTTAGAGAAAGACGGAAATATATTTATTTGCTAAAAGTGAGATAAATATAATTAGCTGTATGCAATATCCTCTTTTAACTTAAAAGCGCTTTTTAAAACTGGTACCTTTAAAAATTTCTATGGCTTAGAATACACATTTTCAAAAGTGACTAGTTTTAAAAAGCGCTTTTAAGTTAAAAAGGGATGTTGCATACCTACAAATATCTTTAAGGGCCAAATAATGGACCGACTGATAAGTGTCAGGTTATTACCTAGCAGGTACTTTCCATGCTCTAGAGAATAGAAAGTACCTGCTAGGTAATAACCTGACACTTAGCAGTCGGTTCATAATTTGGTCCTAAATGAAAATACAAATGACTGTCAATGAGAGATAAATAAAAATCATATTTTAAAAAATAAATCTATCTGGTACTAGATGGCGGTACCTTTTTTAATAATAGATATTTTGCATTTTATGCTGATGATGGATAGATGGCAGTACTGTTATATTGAACTTTGTAGATACTTTAAGATTACTCAAATCATGAATTATTATTTTGCTGATTCTGAAATGGCAAAAATACAACTTTATAATGAAAAAGGGAAGAGATGGAACACGTTACGTAAATGATAAATTTATCGTAACACATTAGAATCTTAGTAATTCAGAGTATGCAACGAGAATTTTAAGTTGTTATTCTCTAATTATTGCTGTGCCCTGACACAGTTTAGTCTGAAAATGAGGATTCAGTAAAATGACAGAACAATCACTGTTACTCATTATTATAGAAATTTACTGCAAAATAATAATAGTGGATCACAAATTTTTGGATTTTCAGTAATGAAGTCCCGAATTTATATTTTCAATTTATTTTTTTCAAGCAAAGTCTTTATGAAGCACGAAAGAAGTTTTCTTGATTAGGAAGTATTATTACATTTTTACCAATGAAAATTTGATTAGCCAGATGAAGTTAGTAACATTAAAGGCAGTCACTTTGTTTTGTTAAATTATCTAGACTCAAGAAATAATATCAAATTCAATTTGAATCAAATAAATGCAGTGTGTCAGCTCCCACATTTGGGACCACAAAGATAATTCGCTGGAAAATGGAATAATATTTGAATGAAGAGTCAGAACACGTACTTATTATTTGCTTCCCTGGTGGATAATAATATTTTCGGGAAGCATTTATCTGGAAATGATGTGGTTCCAGTATAACTAGCTCGTAAATGCTTATTAACCATTTTGGAAATTTCACCTTGTAAATATTTGTAACAAGTTTCCATTATGTCTCTTTTCTATGAGGCGATTTGGGTTGATTAATAAGTCATTTTGTCCACAATTTTTTTAAATTAACGGAATCAATGATGGACAATCACTGGATATATTTTATTTAATGCAAATGTGAGTAACGCCATCTATTAAGTTACTGAATGTCCAGAAGAAATGTGTTATGAGTTAGTATTTTATAGAATATTTTATTTATTATCGAAACCGCTAGAGAAATACTAACTTTTTTGAAAAAGAAAACACATGATACAAGAAATCCTAATTGGAAATAAAACCAACCGAACAAAATGCACTTACTTCCGGACAGTTGTAAACTTTATGAACCATTTTAATCTAGTGTTACGATACAACGTATATTAATGCAATGAAACTGTGGAACAGTTCTCTTATATTATTTACGATTTGTGAAGACAACAGTAAAATGCTAGTAAGGTTTCATAGAGAACATTTAGGATTTACGAATGGTTGAAATGGAGAATTATCAGCATAAAATTTTATGGGATCTTTTTTTTCCACCAATTATTTTTCAGAAATTGCTAATCTTTGTCTTTGATAAATTGTTTCTTTATAGGTACTTTCAACAACTTTGATCATCCAATGTTTTATTTTCAAACCACATTTTCTTTTACAACACTCAGTGTCTTATAATGCTCTCAATTTCATCCCATTGAACTTCACTTTATGATTCATCGTTTTCTTCATGTTCATAATGCACGTCGTCACGATCTTCATTCTCTTCTGCTTCTTTCGCATTGGCTTATTTATGAAGAGGAATGGATTTGATCGAGCAGATGAAAACGCATGGTAAAAAAATATAAGTTTAGTTGTGTTTCTTTATGTCCCACAAGATTTGTTGCATATTTTTCCGAGCTAAAATTCAACTTGAATTCTGTTTTTTATATTCTCTGCCGTATTTGTTTTATATGGGTCACCGTCAATTCATCGTAAATCAATCTGTCGTACGTCAATTCGTCGTACATAAATGCGTCGTAAATTTAATTCGTCGTATACCTCAACTTGTCGTAAAGTCAATTCGTCGTATACGTCAATTCGACGTATGCGTCAATTCACCGTAAAGTCAATTCGTCGTATACGTCAATTCGTCGTAAATTCAATTCGTCGTATACGTCGATTTGTCGTAAAGTATTATCGACTAGCTCGTAATGGAATAAATTAAGTCAAGCATCCGTGTCGGCATGAAAGCAACTGAACTCATGTGATAGCCAACGTGTTAATAGTAGCTGATTCAATCTGGGGGGTCAGGGTGCAACAAATTAGCAACAAGCTGATTCCAGCGGGAATGTTTAGTAAGTGACCTCTTATTTAACCTCCCAAAAGTCCCATTCAGTCCTAGG